AAAAGAAAAGGGGAAGGGTTGGGCAGACGGCCAGGCAGCACCCTACGCGTAAGAGCCAGTCGCAAGAGCATGACTAGAAAGGGGTGACAGGTGTTGCCGAATCCTCCACCCTTGGTCATCGGTCCCCGCAAAGGAGCTGTAGCGCTTGATCGCCTGGATCAGGCTAGTGGTGTCGAGGATGTCAGTCAAATCCACCTGCAGCACTGCAAGCGCTTGCTGGGTGAGATGATCCGCGGAAGCACTTCCAAAGGCAGGCGACGCACCATCAGGGAACTTCTCTTGTGCTTCAGCAAGAAGATCAGCGAAAGATTCAGCCTTGTAGATGCCGGAGCTCAGTAGTGTCCGTACCGCCCGATGAAGGTCACCCGCAGTGAACTGATGAATCGCCAACTGTCGTTGGCGCTCGCTCGCAGAGGTGAGGGACAGCGTAGGTCGCGGCGGAGGAGCAGGCTCAGACTCCTGAGACGATTGGCCGGACTGCCGCTGCTCCCTCGGCCCGCGCGGTTGTGGTCGCTGCTGTTGCTGGTGTTGCTGCTGCTGCTGCTGCTGCTGACGCTGGCGTTGCTGCTGCTGCTGCTGCTGCTGCGGTTGCTGCTGCTGCTGACGCGGGTGCTGCGGCTGCGGCTGCGGCTGCTGCGGTTGCTGCTGGTGGCGGTGGTGTTGCGGCTGCGGCTGCGGCTGCGGCTGCGGCTGCGGCGGCTGCGTTGCCGCCGCCCTCGCGAGGGCTGCTGGGGCGGTTGCAGCTGCTCGGACTCCTGCAGCTGCTGCTGTGGGCTGGCGCTGCCGCGTCTGGGTGCCAGCAGTGCTGGTTCTTTTTCGGGCTTGTGTTTTGTGTGTGATTGTGCAGCTTCTCGCTGTGCGCTGTGTGCCAGGAGGTTCAGCTTGTTCCTGCTTTGTTTTGCTTGAGGCACTTTTTACCTTCTGCCAGTAAATCCATAGCTTTTTTCCCCGGCAACGGTCGGGTCACGCCGGTCCTTGGGCATTGCCGCGCCGCGTCGCCGCCATCACGGGCGGTGTTGGTCTCGGCTACCGCTGACTCGGAGGCTAGCGAGGAGGACTACCTCGAGCGGTACCGTGCTCCTGTGTCCAGCCTCCCTCCGTCCGCTGCCCCAGGCGGACCGGGCCCCGGGTAACGCCGGCTCCTTGTGTGCCAGGAGGTTTAGCTTGTTCCTGCTTTGTTTTGCTTGAGGCACTTTTTACCTTGAGGGAGGCTGCCAGTAAATCCATTGTATCTTTCTCCGTCCGCGGCCGCCAGCTTTGCCCTCGGCTGTGCCGCAAGGTAAGAATATCACGCTGCGGATCGGTCAGCGCAGCGCGAGCATGCACATGGCGAGGGAAGATGCGCATGACAAGAGGAGTCACATTGCGCTGCGCAGGCGGAGGTCGATCTTGTTCCTGCTTTGTTTTGCTTGACTCGGGCACTTTTTACCTTCTGCCAGTAAAACCTATCAGCGTCGACGAGAGCGTGCAAACCAGGGATGTGTACCACAGATGCCGGGGGGCGTCCTGCGTCATCAGGCACAGCAGCCGGGGCAGGTGGGATCGCCGCGCCATCTGCAGCCGGTGCAGTCTTGAATCATAGTAGGATTTACTGGGTAGCTCTGCCAACCTGAGAGTCGGACCAAGTGGGGGGAGGTCATCCTCGACGCCCTCCATGTTGCAGCGTTGGAGAAGATGGGCTGGATATGTTCTGACCCCCTCCGCTTCATCATCGAGTCTCCGGGTATCTCTCAGTCTGGCAGTGGCAGACATCATCCGATGACTCGCTCATTCCGAGTGAGCCTCGGAGGTCTTGGTGGCTCCGAATCCAATGGCAGCCGGGCGCCGCGGCCGGGCGGCCGGACCGTATCGTATCGGACGCCGCCCGCGGCCAATCATGGAGTCCCGAGTCCTATCGCATCACCCCGACATGCCCGGGCCGGGCCCGCGCGGCGCGCTGCCGCAGTGCCTATGCCGCCGGTGCGCCGGGCGATGGCCCTCTCGGGCGGCAACGGGGGGCCCGGTAATAGGTTTGGCGGGCGCGGAAGAATGGTGAAGATACGGAACAAGCACTTGAAGAGGTTGGGACAGAAGCGAAACAAACATACGCGATGCTTCTCAGTGATGTGTGATGTACAAGCACAACATGTGTGAGATGCTATCTCAGTGACGTATGATGTACAAGCATAACATGTGTGAGATGCTATCTCAGTGACGTATGATGTACAAGCATAACATGTGTGAGATGCTATCTCAGTTACGTATGATGTACAAGCATAACATGTGTGAGATGCTATCTCAGTGACGTATGATGTACAAGCATAACATCTTGCAGACACCATCCTTGCACGTATCCTTTTTCCTTGTTGTATCTTGTTTTCCCATGCCTTCCACCATTTGCCATGCAGCAGTCTTGCTCTACTTCCTCATGTATCCATCAATTGTGTTTCCTTGTTGCTTGGTCTCGTCTTGCTGCTGTTGTCCTGCTCAGTCCTCGTCTCCTCCACGTCTCACTTCGTGTCCTCATCTCGGAGCGCAGGCTCGAGGAGGTCCTGGAGCTCGCCGTCAGCTCATCGCTCCGGGTGCGAGGAGGAATGCATGATGCAGACGAGATGCTGCGAGATGTCGCCGACGAGTTGGAGGGCAAGAGGGCGAAGAGCAGTCAGGACTTGACTGGCAGTGAGGAGCGAGGGAGAGGAAAGGAGAGGACTGGAAACGGCGATGATGAGGAGCTCGTTAGGTATCTGGGAGGAGGAGAGGAAGGAGGGTGACTGTTTTTCAACTCCTTCATCTGGTTAGGGTTGAGCGCATGCTCGGACTCGCGCTCACTGAAGTTCTCCGTGAGGACCTGGAGGATGCGTGTGCTGCGCTCGCCCAGGTAGAACCTTGAGCACCCGCTTCTTTCAGCTCCCCACTTGGATGCAGCACATCCGACGGCTGCTGGAATGCGAGGAGAAGCAGCCGGGAGGGCATTCAGAAGCAACGAGGTTGAGGAGCTCGCGACTTGTGCGCTCGTGAGCTTCCGTAGGAGATGGGCAATGCTGTTCGAGCAGGGATGGCTCAGAGCCGCGCGAATGACAAGCAAGGAGGGGAGGGAGGAGGAAGCTGCTCGTTCCCTGCTGTCCAAGTTGACAGGACAGCTTGATGCACTGGAGGAGGTGTCGCAAGAGTTGCGAGAGGTTTCGTTTACCATGATCTTGACTCGACCACCTCCTCTTCCTCTCCTTCTCTCCTCTTCTCCTCTTGTTTGTCTCTTCCTCCTACTTTCCTCCTATTGCTCCTCCTCTCCTCTCTTCCTCTCTTTCCTGATCGCCCTCCTCCAGCTCGAACTCGCTGCTTGCATTCGCCGCATGGCTGCTGTAGCTAGACGAAGCGGCTTGCTGTCGGTACAGCTCCGGTAGTCGAGCATGAGGAGTGAGGGTCAAATGACAAGCGGCAGCTGCGTTCCTGCTCACTACTACAATCTGACGCTAGAGGAGCGAAGCCTGCTGCTCGGTAAGCCTCCTCCTCTCCTCTGACAACACTCACTGCGATACAGGAGCACCAAGCATTCATCACCTGTGAACGAAATTTCCTACCTGCCTGCCTCCCTTCTTCCTTGTGTCCTCTTTCCTCGTCCTGCTCCCTTGACTCCTTCCCTCCTCCTTCCGCCTTCTTCTTCGTAAAACTCATCTTCTTTCTTGCCTGTCCTTCACGCTGCTTTCATCTCCGTTCCATTCAGCTTGCCCTGTGCTCCTCCCCCTCGTTCTTCTTCTCTGATGGTTCAATATTCGCCTCCTTCGTTGATGACTTTGTAGATGCAAGACGGTCGTGTTTGAGAACAGAGAATGTGTGTACACGGACTGCAGCAACTCAGATAATTCGAGGTAGCATCGAGGTATTTGCTTGCCTCTCATGTTTTGTCAGGTTCTATGCTGTCATCATTCAATATACTTCAAAGTGCAACACAGAAAAACTTCTTCGCCTTGTTCGCTCATGGACGCCTGGTGAGCTCCCGCTCCTCCTCCATTACCGTCTCTTAGAGTGATTCAACCCGCTCCCTCCCTCTCCT